GAACTGGGAGATGTGAGTAACGGGAAGGTGGGATGCCCAGGGAACAAGGAGCTACGAGTAGCAGGGTTAGCGGGGAAATGGGATGCTGAGGGAACTGGGGAGATGCAGGTATCGAGGGGACCGGAGGAATGCGATGCTCAGGGAACCGGAGCTGTGGGTACCGGGGCAGAGGGGAGATGGGATGGTCGGGGTACCGAGGAGACGCGGGTATTGGAGGCAGCGGGGAGATGGGATGCTCGGGGAAGCGGGGACCCTGGAGCGGAGAGAAAAGGAGCCGAGTTAGCAGGGAGCCGCGCGAGTTGTGCTGTCTGGAGATCGAGGGGATACCCGGTGCCGGGGTGCCCCGAGTCTCTCCCTCCTTACCGGGCAGCCTGAGCTCAGCGCCGGCCGCTCTCCGCTCCGGGATGCCCGGCGTTCCGCCCAGGGGTCGCTGGGGGCGGCGGGCGCTGCAGCTCCGCGGCGCTGACAGCTCCGTGTGAACGCGGCGGGGCGGCACCGCCCGGCCCGGACCCCCTCGGACCCCCCCGGTAAGAGGCGGAGCCGCCCCGCCTCCCCTCCCCCCCGGTGTTGTTGGGGGGATGAGGGCTGAGGGAAGGGGTGAAACTTCACGGCGGGGTCGTGTGGAGCGGGAGGGGGATCGGGATGGCTGGGGTTGATATCTTCCCTCCCCCCCCCCCCCCCACTCCTACCCCCTGTGGACCAAACCCACGGGAGACCTTTTTGCTCATCCTTGTTCTATTTCTTAATTTTCCTTTTTATTTTTCTTCTTTTTTTTTCCCCTCTTTTTCCTGAAGGAAAAGAACCGGATTTGGCACCCCTCGAGTTGTCGCTCGCTCTTAGCCTGCAAGAGCTGGCGCGGCCCGAAGCGCGCTGTTAATGATGTTAATTAATTCTAATGCAAGCTGCCACCTCTCCCTGCAAGCGCTGCCTTGGACAAGCGAACCTGGCATCCCTCGGCCGCAACCCTGGAGCTGAGGAAGGCGCAGGCACCGATTGCACGGCCCCGCATCCCCTTCCCATCCCGCTCCCACTGCCGCCTTCCCTTTGGCCGCAGCCCCGGGGGCAGCGCGCAATTAACGGCGTTTCCACGCGCCTCCCTTCCAGATGGCCGGCCTGGCTTTAGCGCGCGTTTCTCCTTCTTTTCTTCTCCTCCCGTGAAAATACACGGCGTAGCCCGGCTCCAATCCCGGCTTGCAGGAAAATCATTTCATTTTCAGAAATTTAAAGACAATCTCCGCAGATTAAAATGATGGAACAGCTGTGGAATGATGGAGCAAAGTGAGCGGGGGGGGGGAGGGAAGGGGGGGTGTTGAGGGGGGTATTTCCTCCCTCCCCCCTTTGCCCAAGGGAGCACCAGGTCTTAAAAGGCAAACAGCATCATCTCGGTGCGTTCCACTTGGCCGTCCCTCTGCTTTGAGCATGGGCCTTTGTGGGTGACCCCCCCCCCCCCAGCTTGTATCTCTGGGTCTGTGCTCACAGATTGCTTTTTGGGAAAGCAGGGCTCGGGGTCCAGCCCTGTGGGTGTCACCTGCTTGGGTGAGCAGCACCTGGACGCAGGACTGGGAGCGTGCCTGCAGCCCGCCTTGGTTAACAGCAAGAGACTGGAAGTCAGGACCGATTTTTCCAGCTGGATTAGATGGGTCGGCTGCTGCGTAGCCTCCCTGTCTGAGGAACGTAGAGGAAACAGCTCTTGATGAGCTGAGCTGCTTGGACAAAGCAGTGAGGTGAAAACAAGCACGCGATTCCTGGCTGTCTGGAGGCTCCACGGTGCTTTTTGGGAGGAGGTGATAGATGGAGGTCGGGGAGCCCGGCGCCTTGGACACGGATGTGCCCCCAGGACAAGAGCCATGAAATGGCCCTTTGCAGCCTCTGGCAGCCCGGGGTGTTGGTGGCATTTGTAGGGATGAAGTAAAAGGCCAAGGAAAGGGCATTGCCTTCTGCAAGGCACAGGGAAGCCTCACCTCCAGAGAGGGCAGGCAGCTCTGCTGCGCCCCTGAGCTCGGTGTCCTTATGGAGGTGGCACTCAGAGGGACTGCAGGTCCTGGTTATAACTGTGCCCACTGTGGAGCTTCCAGGCATCTGCTTTTCCATTTGCTTTTCACCCCGCAATATATTCCAGTTGGAATGACTCATCCTTCCTCTCAGGACTCCAACCTGCAGTAATGAGATGTAAATCCTCGCATGACCTATTATATTAGCTTATGCTATATCACACATCTCCGTGGATTAGAAGGGAGGGAGACGAGACGTCCTCCCGAGGCAGCAGCCAGTGGGATCTAAGAGGATCGCTCCTCGGCGTTGGCACCTGGTTTGAATACCTCTGCCATGAGATCTGCTCACAGCAGACACACGTCAGCTCGGCTCTTCTTTCCAGGTAAGTGGAGAACTGACCCCAGCTCCTCACCTGCAAGCTCTCCAGATGGGAGCAGGGTTTGCCAGGGTCGCATGCAGTGGCCCGCTCTTGAAGCAATGTAGATTTCGTGGAGCTTTCTCTCTGTTTCACCATGTTTCTCTCTGCTGTTACCTTGCTAGCTGTCCAGCCAGGTGCTGAGACATGAGGTGATGTTTCTACGACGTCGCTCTTCCAACTCCAAGGCCAAGTGCAACCCCACGCTGTACCCAAATCCTGCACCACCCCATTACCTGCTGCAGCCCTCCCAGGGATGAACTGAATCCAGGTGGCACCTGGAGCTACAGCACCACCCAGATGACACCAGGTAAGCCTTGCAGTGGATGGCAAAGGGCTGAAAATATTGAAGACTCCAAGCGCAAGCACGGGATCAGCAAGGCTGGAAAAGGCCTTGGAGCTCATCAGGTGCAGCCATGAGTAGGTCCTGGAAGGATGTGTGTGTGCTGGAGACACACCGGGGGAGGAACGAGGCGGCGCTGCTAAATAAAGCAGGCAGGCTCTGCCGGGTGAAGTCACACTGACACTTCCCCGCCGGCTGTCACTTGGTGTGACGGGCACAGTCACAGCAGCACAGGGCTTTGGAGCTCAGCCATCAGGGCCGGGAACACTGAGGGACTGGTGAGGATAAGGCCAGGAGCATCAGCAGGGGCTGAGGGACACCCATGGGGGCAAGGATAGGGATATCAGCAAGCTTTGCCAAGGAGGCTGTGGATGCCCCATCCCTGCAGGCATTGGAGGCCAGGCTGGATGTGGCTCCGGGCAGCTTGGGCTGCTGGTTGGTGACCCTGCACACAGCAGGGGGTTGGAACTGGATGAGCACTGTGGTCCTTTTCAACTCAGGCCACTCTGTGATTCTATGATTTGGGTGGGAAAGCACGAGGGACCCTTGGAGATCTCAGCACTGGGCTTCGAGCTACGCTGGGTCCAGTGGCCATAGCCAACCCCCCCCTCTAAGACCCACACCAGCCCCACTGTGCCCTCCACTGGTAAGTGAGGTGGATAGGGAGGGTTGAGGTCATCCATCAGACAGCACCCTGTATGTAACACCTGAATATCGTGACATCGGTGGCACTGGATGGCAAAGCAGTGCACCTCCTGCTCTAGGTGTAGCCGTACAGGCGTGGGAATCACCACAGCTGGGGGTGAGGGAGGCGAGGGGGGGCCGCGGTGGCACCCGAGCAGTGACACAAATACACAGGGACAGACACACGGAGCCGTGTAAACAGGCACATGGGGAGAACATGTGCCGCTTGGCTGTCGGCGCGCGCCCCCAGCAAAGGCACACGGCATGGGGAGCGCGTGGGGGAGACATCCCAGAGGGGGTCTGACCAGGGTTCTCCTTTCCTGGAGAGCTCCAAGGGAGAGAGGTGCGCAGCGGGAAGAGAGCATCAGCAGCTGGGAGGGATGGTGTGACCAAGGTGACTTTGGCTGCGGGTTGGTGACCCTGCAAGGGCAACCTCAGGGAAGGAAAAGCAAAGGGTGTGCGAGGCCAGAGGCGTCCCGTGCCTCCTGCAGCCTCTGCAAACGTCAGCGCGGGTCCCAGGGGCTCACCCTGCCCTGCTGCCTGCTGCAGGCACCCCAGCCAGATGGGGGGATGCTGAGCCAAGCTGGGATCGCCGCCAGCAGTGCAACGGGGCAGAGATCAGCAGCTCGCAGCCCTGCTTCCCACTGAGATCTCCAATCCAAACCCCTGCACCCAAGCTGACGGATCCCACCCAGCCCCTTTGTGCGGACCGCTGTTGTGAAGGGAACCAAAGAGCCTTGAGCAGCAGGTGGAGGCAAAGAGCAGAGAGAGGGAGGACAGCGCTTGCAGGTGGGGGTCGTCCTGGTGCTGGGGCCGACTGGTGGCCCAAGAGGACAGGGACAGCACTCATATCCCCCTACCTCTGGTTTCAGCCCACCGCATGAGGCTGCTCAGCCTTTCTCTCCATTTCAAAAGCCACGTTCTTGCTGGCTTTGCCTGAAAATGACTTTAATCTTCATAAGCCCGAGAAGTAAAGCTGCTTATAGGCGATGTGAAGAAGTTGGGGGGGGGGGGGGGGGGAGAGAAACAGACAGGGTTAGTCCGGGAGAAATGAAACCCTACAGCATCAGACCCCATCACAGCACTGTGCCACCCCTTCCACACACCTGGATTCCATTGCTACACCCAGAAACGAGGGCATCATTGTGATGAGCTCGTCAGTTCTCAGGCCGGAACCACCCCACCATGCCCAGAAGAAGGGGAACTGGGCCAGGGGGTCCTTATCCCCTATGGGGTGGGTGCAGGGGATGAGTGACAGAGGGCTCTGGCAGGCGAGATGTGCCGCGTCCGTATGGAATGGTTTTATTACAGTTTTAATCTCACAGTCGGTAGCATTACATGAGAATAAAGCACTGGACAGGACTGGAAAAAAAGGCCTCTGGAGACAGCATGCAAACATTGCAACAAGTTTAAAGCAAAACAACCCAAAAAAAGCGCCCTCGGGGGACGCTGCTGTGCTCCCAGCAATGCAGCGTCTCCTCTGGAACCATCACTTCTGTCGTTGGGGTTTCCTTTTTGTGTGTCCATTTCATTGGCTTATTTATTATTATTCTTCTTTTATTAACCTTCTTTCTTCTTCTTCTTTTTCTTTTTTTTTTTTTTTTTAATTTTCTGTCTTTTAATTACATTAAAAAATAAGATTCGTACTTTAGTAAAACGGCCAGCGCTCGGCTGGGCCCCTGCTTGAAATAATAATAATAATAAAAAAAAAAAACAAAAAACCACAACATAATGACAACAACAACAAAATAATAATAAAGCAACGGCTCCCCTCCCCCCCTCAAAAAAAAAAAACCAAAAAAAAAAGGAACCCGAACGAAAAACACCCCAAAATCAAGGGGGGGAGGGGGGAAAAATAATAATAATAAAAAAAAAAGCCTGGGACAAAACAAAACAAACAAAACAAAACCCAACGAAGACCGATTTGGAAGGTTGGAAGTGACCAGGAGGGGCTGCCCGGTGGTTGGGCTCCGTCCGGTCGCTCCCATGGGTGGCCCTCTGTGCTGTGTGGGCTGAGAGAGCCCCCCTGCTCCTGCCCTGGGGTTGGAGGTGCCCCCCAGAGCCCTCTCACAGGTAGAGCTCCTTCTCTTTGATATGCACTAGCTGTTCACGGAGCTGGTGGAAGGACGGCCGGTGCCCTGGGTCCAGCGTCCAGCACTTCTTCATCACCTCGTAGACGATGGCTGGGCAGCCGTCGGGTGCGTCCATCTTGTAGCCCTTCTCCACCCGGGGCACCACGTCCTTCAGGGGCTGAGGGGACAAGGGCTCAGGGGGCTGCTCCCAACCCCCCCCCAAATACCCAAGGGCTGCCCCCAGCCCTCCCCCCTGCCCCTTTATGAGCTCTCACTTACGATTCTCGGATAAGGCACTCGCCCGAAGGAATAGATTTCCCACAGGAGGATCCCGAAGCTCCACACGTCCGATTTGGTGGAGAATTTCTGCGTGCAGGGAGAAAGGGCCGTTTTGAGTGGGGCTCTGAGCACAAAGCGGGACGTCTCCAGATCTTTCCCCCCTCTGACGGCTCTCCTCCCACCTTTTCTCTAAGTGCTTCGGGTGCTGTCCACTTCACAGGCAGCTTCCCCGTGTCCTGAGTGGACGACGCTTCCTTTGTCAGCCCAAAATCGCTGACCTTGGCAATGTTGTCCTCTGAGACCAACACGTTCCTCGCCGCCAGGTCCCGATGGACGAAGTTGTTGGCTTCCAGGTACTCCATGGCTTCACAGACATCTCTGGCGGGCGACAGAGAGGCGTTAGGAATTTGGTTACCAGAACTGTGGCTACAAAAAGCCACGGGTGTGCATCAGCCCTGTGGTCGGGGACATCAGGGCAGCGAGCTCTCGGCTGCCCTGCTTGAAGCAGGAGGCTTGGATGATACATCCCTTCCAACCTCAACCATCTCTGGGGACTGCATCTCCCCCATCCCTCCTCTCCTCTTCCCGTTTCTCAAGCCCCAGGGCATGGGGTGAGACGGGCAGAGCAAGCAGGACCATCCCTGCGTCACAGACTCGTGGAATCGTTTGAGTTGGAAGGGATTGTTAAAGGTCCCACTTCCCTGCAGGGAATATAATCCCAGGAAGAGGGATATCCATCAGGATGCTCAGATCCCCCCGCCCCACCATACTTACAAGGAAAACTTGAGCAGGCAGTCTGCACCTAGGACCGACCTCCCACGCGACCGCAGGTAATCTACTAGGCTGCCCTGGAGGGACAGAGAGAGATGGTGCCATCAGTGCCAGCATCTTGCTGGGAGCAGTGTCCCACTGCCAGCCCCACACGGCCCAGGGCGTGGGATGGGGAGATGGTAGCATCCAACTGGGGTCATGGCCCAGGGGAACAAGAGGTTGGGGGGCAGAGAGATGGGGAGAAGGAGGTGGAGAAAGAGGGTTGTGGTTGTGTGGGAGGACCCTGTGGTCAGCTCTCACCTTGGCCATATACTCAGTGACAATGTAGAGGCCGCTCTTCTCCTCCACGATCACCCCCAGCAGCTGCACCAGGTTGCTGTGTCGGAGCTGCCTGCACAGCAGAGGAAGGCTCAGGGAGCAGGAGGGCACGGAGACCACCTCCATCCACACACCCCTTCCCACTGCCATCTCTTGTGTGTGTTTTTTCCCCCCCCCGGCCATACTCACGTCATCACAGACGCTTCTGCCAGGAAAGCCTGCGCTGTGGCGTCGTTTTTAATGCACTTGACGGCGACTTTGTTCCCCCGGTAATCACCCAGCATCACGTCTGTAGGAAGGATGGATGGGCACAGGAATGAGCCACGGCCTCCCAACATCCCTCCCAGCATCAACTCCTGATTGGGACGCACAGGGACGTGCTTTTCCCCAGCACAGGAGACCCTATGGCATTGGGTAAGTGAGGCCAAAGCGCTGCTCACCTCCAAATTCCCCTTTGCCAATGATCTGCAGCAGCTTGAGGTCCTTCATGTTGAGGGCCCAGCCACCTGAGTGGGAAGGATGAGGGTGAGGGAGTGCCAGGGATGGGGACAAGAGCTGGGGAGGGGGCACGGCCACTCACTGCGGGAGAACTCGTCCTGAGCTGCCACCGTCCCCTCCATCACCTTGGGCTTGATGAGGCGCGTGCAGAGCCCGTCAGCATCCGTGGTGTAATGCTGGAGGGGAGACGGGGGTGAGAGGCCGGGAGGTCACCCACAGCCACGGATGACAGCGTGGGGACTCGGTGGGGGTCCCTGCCAGGGCGATGCCAGGCCCTGAGACCCCACCAGGTGGCAGCACGAGGCCACAGATGAGACCAGTACGGGCTCAGGGCTTCGGTGCCTTTGCCCATCCTATCCTTGTTTCCATCTCACCCCTTTTGTCCCAGGGCTCTGGGCCCAGCAGCTTCCGACCCAGCCCACAGGGATGCAAAGAAGATTCCATCACCTCCCACGGTCCAGAGCAACCCAACTCCAACCCATGCAATCCTCAAACTTATGGCCCCTCCTCGCCACGGGTCAGGGCATGCAGCGAGTCCCGCATCAACCACACGTGCAACCACAGAATGGTTGGGTTGGAAAGGACCTTAAAGCCCCCTGCTGTGGGCTGGCTGCCCCCCACTAGCTCACGCTGCCCTGCCAGGGCCCCATCCACAGCCTTGGGCACCTCCAGGGACAAGGAGGGTTCCTGCTCCCCGGGACCCCACCTCCACAAGCTGCATCAGGTTCTCAAAGTAGACCTCCTCGTCGATGCTCAGCTTGCTGGAGGAGTAAATGATGCGGTAGTGCTCCACCTTGCCCTCACAGCTCACACACAGGGTGTAGTCCCCAGGGTAGTTGGTGCTCTCCCGCACCAGGAACAGCCCCGTTTCAGGTGGGTACAGCAGCCGCTCTGCCTGCTCCCGTGTGATCTTCCCATGGAACCACCTGCAGCAGGGTGGGAGAGGCAGTCAGTGCGCCGGGACGGATCCCACGGGGCTGGGGGGCCACGTTTGGGGGTGATGGGGACTCACGGCATGAGGCTGAGCTTGATGCCAGCCTTCACTCCTTCCCGTTTCTGCACGTAGTTAGCGGGGATGATGCCCTCCCGGCCCACCTTGTTCTTCGCCTTGTACCAGTTGGGGTCCTGTGGGGACAGCAGAGGTGTCACAGCGAGCCCACAGACGTCTCGTCGGGAGCCAGACTGCAAGCCTCTCTCCATCCCCCTCCACTGCGCCGCCTGGGACGCTTCCATTTCAGAGGAACTTTAACTAACGAGGCCGTGAATTAATTAACCCAACGCCTGGCCCGATTGCCGGCCTGTGGGGACAGCAGAGCGACGCTCCCTGCCCGTGGGATGCAGGAGAAAACAAGGGGGAGGCTCGGGGAACCCCACAGGGGTTGGGAGGGTGGGACCCACCGCCCCGGGACCCGATGGCCATTACCTTGGTGACAGCAACGATGGTGAGGACGTCTCCCTTGCTGAACGGCAGGTCCTGCTCGGCGGTACCGTGGAAGTTGTACTTGGCGATACATTCTGTACCGGATGGCCAAACGGCCTGGGGGGGTAAAAGGAGAGGGGGGGGGAGGATGTGAGAGGTGGCTCAGAGCATCTCCCACCCACCCCGACACCGAGCAGCAGGGGAGCGCAGGGCTCACGGCACCTCACCTGCATCCCTGACATCTTCTCAGGGGCTTCGGGGGAGCAAATCTCACGGGAGGGACGCGTCACTTGGTACCATGAGACCTGGGCAGGGGGTAAAAGGACAGCTGAGAACGGCAGCACCGCTGCGAGAGGCACCGCATCTCCGTGCGTGCGTGCAGGGCTGGGCTGGGAACGTTGTTTGCAGCGGGGTTTTTGGCCGGCACGACTTTCATTTGCTAAGGAAGCACCAAAAGCCATCCCCAGACGTCACACCCAGCAGGAGAGGCCGGGATGGAGCAGAAGCGGGAAGAGAAAAAAGCTCCGCGAGAAACAAGAAAACATCCCCACGCCAGCTGCTGGGAACGGCGCCGCTGCAGCAAGCTTTTGCAAAGGGAACAAGAAGAAAAATAGCCCATTTCCCTCGGGACGAGGCGCTCCGGGCGTGGGTGCAGCCCTGTCCCCGCGGGTCGCATCCTGCTCTGCGCGTAGGAGGGGAACAAACCCGCCTTTATCCGCGCCGGCTGCTGGCTGAAGTCAGCAGCCCCGCCATCAAATGAGGCTTTCTTGGGCCGAACCATGGGGCCTCTCCCCACGGTCGCAGCGGCCACGAGCGTCCCTGAGCCCCCACTGGGGGTGATGCCAGAACGACGCGGGCGCTTTGGAGTTACTGCAGGCCCGACGGACAGCCGTCAGCAGCCAGAAGTATTTTGGGCAGGAGGAACCGAAAGCAAAGGGGCAAGGCTGGGAGGAGGAAGAAGATAAGAGGGCAGAGCGGCGGAGAGGAAGAGATCTGGGTGCTGAGAGCTGCCAACACCTCGCTCCCATTTTGTTTAGGGTCTGGAGTGATGCTCAGAGCTGTTCCCACCGTGGGAAGGGAGCGCGCCCGTCAGCACAGCACCCGGCCCTGTGCACGGTTGAGGTTTTTCCTCCCGGCCACACGAGCGGTGCTGGGGACGTCCCCACAGAGAATCCTCCTGAGACCGAGCTGTGGGGCTGCGTCACTTCCTCGGCAGCCCCCCCGAAAAGCCCCACATGGGACTGTTCCTCATCCTGCTGCTCGCAGCACCAAACCCGGTTCCGCCCCGTCCCGTTCATCCCAACGCTGGGGATGCTCTCCATTGGCACCCCTGTGTACTGTGAGAGAGCACCCGTGGGAATGCAGCATCCCTGCCTGCGTGTAGCGTTCATCTCAGAGCTCAATCTCTGTCTTCAAGTGGATCTTTGCTGAAGCCTCAAAGCGAGCCGTTGCAGGAAATGGTCCAAAGCAAAACACAGCCCTCCAAAACAACCCATCGGCCGGGTCCTCACAGCCATCTTAATGAAGTCTGCTTGAAGGAAAGCACTCTTCTGTCCCTCCACACCACAATTTAGGGTGTTATTTGCTGGAACCGGGTGTTCCACCGCCCTCAGGTGCAGTTTTGGTGCCCTTCTGCAGAGTGCAAGCTCACAAGTATGGGCTGAATGCAGACCCTCAGCCCCTCTGAACTGCCATGGGGATCAGCACGGCTTTGCATGGAGTCCCACGCCGCTCACATCCGCAGGAGGGATTTCCCATTTCTGCCTTTCTCACCACCCTGCTGCTCTCAGGAAGGTCCCCGCAGTGCGTGGTCAGCGGCTCCCAGCAGCTCCCGTGTGCTTGGAGGGCGAGGGCGGCAGGAAGGAGCTCGGGGCTGAGATTGGGCTCCACCTGAACGTTCCTGGCACAGCTCACCCCATTGGGGAACAACAGACCGGAGCACGGCCCTAAAGTGGGAAGCAGGCACTGGCAGCACCCCGGTAACCCATTGGGAAGTGGAACAAGGTGAGAGGACCTCTTCTTTTGTCCAACACCGACCTCCTCCTCTCCTCAGAAGTGGATGAAGAAGGCTCCGTGCCTGCTGGATGTCCCCGGGGAACTGACCTCATCCTTGGGCTGATGGATCAGCGCCGAGCATCAGGGCTCTGCCGGCAGCAGAGGGATGCGCAGCGCATCCCAGCACAGCAGCCATTCCCACAGCTCCCAGCAGAGCTGCTCCATCCCCACGCTGCTCTGCTGGAGAGAAAAAGGGACCAGGGGACGTTCAGAACCTGCAGGAAGGGCTCCAGTGTGCTCCAGCACAACGCCGTCCTCGCGCTCCGCTCGAGCTCCTATCCAAACTTCAGAAACAAAAGACACGAAACAACCCCCAAACAGACAACATCCCCGCTGCTCTCCAAAAGATCTTATCAGCTGTCATTACAAGCAACACCTACGATTACCATAATCGAAAGAAAAACGTTCCTCCTTTATCTCATCAGTGCTCTGAGATGGTTCTGCCGCTCCTCTCCGGCTCAGCGCCTCCAACTGCGCGTGTCGGGCACCAGCCAACGGCCCCCAGAGAGGAAAGGGGGGGTGGTGTTCCTTTTTGATGGCGTTTTTAAAAGAGAGATGATGCTGTCAAACCACAGACAGCGCCTGGGGGATACTCAGGGGCAGGTGGAGGCCCTGAGACGCTGCTTCCAACCTCCTCGCTGTGGCAGAGTCTTCCTGGGCCTTTTCTCCAAAACCTGGGCGGTTTCGCTGGATGTGGTTGTCCACCGATTGGCCGCAGTGCCCGACGACACCTCCAGAATCACTGAACTGCTAGGGTTGGAATGGACCTCCACGACGACCAACTGTGACCGCCAACCCACGGCCACCACACCGTGTCCCAAGGCCACATCCTTTGGGTCTGCTTCCCGTGCCCTGAAGGGTGTCAGTGCCTTCCTGGGGAGCAGCACGTGGGCTCTGTGCGCCCCGAAAGGAATGGGTGAATGTGGGAGGAGAACCATGGCTTGACATCCTGCTTGTGATGCATCACTGCCGTTGACCTCTGCTGGGGGCCCCATCTTCAAACTCCACCCCCAACAGACTTCTGTCCCCAGTGGATGCATCTCCCATCCCCAGTGGATGGACCTCCTGTCCCCAATGGATGCACCTCCTCTCCCCAAACAGACACACCTCCCATCCCCAACGGACAGATCTCCCATCCCCAATGGACACACCTCCTGTTCCCAATGGGCACATCTCCGTTTCCAGTGGATGCACCTCCAACCCTGCCTCCCCAGCGGGCAGATCTCCATCCCCAATGGACAGATCTCCATCTCCAATGGACAGATCTCAATCCCCAGTGGGTAGATCTCCATCCCCAACGGACAGATCTCCATCTCCAATGGTCAGATCTCCATCCCCAATGGACAGATCTCCATCCCCAACGGACAGATCTCCATCTCCAATGGTCAGATCTCCACCCCCACTGGGCAAATCTCCACCGGAGGCCCTTTGGGACGCTCTCTCCACTCCGGGTCCAAGGACCACAGCCCCAAAGGGAACAAAGCATCCCCTCCTTTACCACTACCGGCGCAGACCCGTCCAGCCGAGCTCAGCGCTCTTCCACTCCCTCGAGGAAGCGCTGCCCGACCCCTCCGTCCCCCCGCAGCTTTTTCGGGCCGGCTGACAGCGGTGTCCCGCAGCTTTTCCCCCCCCCCCCCCCCCCGGTTCCCGGTACTCACCTCCCCGAGGGGCCGCGGGCAGGCAGGGCTCAGCCCGCCGCCGGGTACTCCATGCGGCGCCGCCGGGGGCCTCCGTGCTCGAGGTGGGGGGGTGGGGGGGAGGGAAGGCGGAGGGGGGGACGGAAGGGGCGGAGGAAGGCGAGCGGCAGCCCGGCGGCTCCCAGCCCCGAGGAAGAGGCGGCCGCGGCCGCTCGCAGCCGGAGGAGCCGCGTCGGGACGGGGGGAAAAGGGAACGGAGCGGCCGCGGCCCGGGATGCGGGGAGAGAGCGGGACCGGGCGGTGCGGGGGAAGGGGGAGGAGGGAGCGGGGAGCGGGGAGCGCGGGCCGGCGCGGCCGGGGCCTGCTGGAAGGAAGCGGCGGCCGGAATCGGAGCGCCCCGAACAGCGCGCCTGCGCCGTGCGGCTCCGCAGCGCCCCCTGGTGGGCAGAAGGGAAAGAGGCGGCTTTCGGGGTGCGGGGAGTTGCGGGATGGGGAGATGGGTTCGGAGTGCGGGAGGGGAGATTTGGGTTGGGTGCGAGGAGTTTTGTGCACCGAAGAGCTTGGCACGGGATGCCCAGAGAGGCGGTGGTGTCCCGTACCTGTAGACACCACGGTCAGGCTGGGTGGCTTTGAGCGCCTGATGTGCTACGGGTGTCTCTCTGTGTGTTTTGGCCGGGGGGGGGGGGGGGGGGAATGATTCGCTTCCAGTTCAATTCTGTGACTGCAGGAGCCCACTCAGCTGTGGGGGTTCTGCACGCAGATAGGTGGGCACCCTGCTCCCATGGCCCCCAGCACCGTGCCGCCATGCCCCGAGCTCTCAAGCACTGCCTGCTCGCGGGCAGAGCCGCTGTCACTTCCTGCCCTGCGCTGCGTGCAGCCCATGTAGGGCGAAGCAGGAAGCCCGGCACAGTGCCTGCATCCCCCCCCCACCAGCGCAGGGGACCATGCGGGTGACATCGATGGGAGCTCGGTGCCAACAGCTCCAGCAGCCCAGATGGTGCTGAATGCGTCGGGAGGATTGCTATGGAGCTCCCCGCATGGAGCTCAGTGCCCCGAAGGATGCTGGGTTGCAGGCTGGCCCTGCTCGTGTTCATCCCTACTCCACGCTCTGTCTCACTCAGAGCGATGCTGGGAGGAAATGAGAGCAGCTCTGCTTGCAGCAAAGCGCGGATGCGGGCACCAACCCATGCAGCCTCCCCAGGGCAGAAATGCTGCGAGCGAAGCAGCGCACCTGCATGCTGAGCTGAACGCGAAGGCAGGTGGATGCGGTCCTGCAGCACTGCAAGCTCCAGGGCGGTGGGGATACAAAGCTCCCTCCCCAAATGAGCATCCCCCAAGTGAGCATCCCCTTCCCCGAATGAGCATCCTACTGATCAGCATCCCCCACATGAGCATCTCCCAAACGCTCGGAGCAGGAGCTCAGTCTTTCAGAGAAAGGTTCCGTTCATGCAGAGCAGAGATGTGGCAGATGCCACACGAGGGCGATCACGTCCCAAAGGCGACGCAGAGGGGACAAAAAGGCTCCGGAGAGCATCGCTGCTTCGGGACCCGCACTGCTCTGCCTGGTGCTGCTCCCTGAGGGCATTCAACCCTGACCCTCGCGTGCCTCCTAAAACACCTTGTTGGTTCTGCCTCATTTTCCGAGACTTCCCTCGTTTCCAGGAGGGTTTTAATTAAAACAGAAGGGATTGGGTTGCTGTAGGGTCTCTCAGTGTGCCAGATGCTGGTGAGGGGTGCAGGGAGCTAAAGGAGAGCTGGGATTAAGGTCGGTGCCCCCAGCCCCCACTTGTCCCAAGCAGCCTTCGGTGTGCAGGATGTGGTTATCACCGTGTCTGCTTTGCTCTGCCTCAACCCAGGGACAAACTCCACCCTCACCTGCTTTCTTGTGCACCCCATTGTACCTTTGGGCTTGGGGTCCAGAGAAAGTCCCACCAGCTCCAGTGCCCTGGAAGATAAAATCAGAGAGCCCTGCTCCATGGTGGGGAGCAGTTTTTCTTACCCCAAAAGGCAGAAATCAGCCACTCTTCTCACTGCAACACAGCTGCTCCCGTGGCTGAAGGAAGAGGAAAGCCTGGTTTGGTCGTGAATGTGGAGAGGCAAGGAGATGTGATCTTTGGAGATCATCTTGTCATAAAATCATTAAGGTTGGAATGACCACTGGGATCATCTCATCTAACCACCAGCCCATCACCACCCTGCCCACTAACCCCTCAATAAGGGATGCAGGAGCAAAGCTCACAGTGCTCGGGTACCATCACACTGCACACGTGGCTCAGAAATGTGGGGCTCAAAGTGAGCCTTAAGACATCAAGCATCAAGAGTATTCTTAACATGGAGGGGCTGTCCCCTCTTTTGGGACTGGCAGTCACAGCAGTGGTCTGGTATCAAATGTGGAGGTTGGTGGCCCTGCATGTGGCAGGGGGTTGGACATTCATGATCCTCGAGGTCCCTTCCAACCCAGGCCATTCTGTGATTCTGTGATCTATGATTCTGTGACGCCTGCTTAGCTTAGGAGACAATTTATTTCTCCCTTGGCAAAACTGAGCAGGCTTGGCCATCGATTACAGGCACCCAAGAGTGCTGAGGGAATGAAGAGAGATGGAGCTGGGTTAGAAATGTACAGGACGCTCTTTTAACAAGGAGGGTCATTAAGTACTGGAGCAACTCCTCTGGGGAATTGGGAACTCCAAAGGCTGGCATCCAGGTGGAGGAGTTTGGTGCTGCCTGCATTTAAGGTTTCCATCCCTGCTGGATGTTTTTCTGTGGGCTCAAGGGACCGGTGAGCCTCACCAGCTTGGCAAGAGGACCAGGAGCCAAGAGGCCATGGCTCAGTGCTGACTCACTTTAAAAGGGCCAATAAAAGCAATTAGCTGTGGTGCAATCAAAGCTCCCCTGGCTTATCACAGCTCCGGTCCCCATAAAGGTCCCCATAAAGAAATCGTGGCAATCTCAAGTTACCTGGGGAATAAATGGAGGCTTTAATCGAGGGAAATAATCTGTGGAAAGACAAAGATAGAGGAGTTGTGTGAGCAATTGGTGCTGGCGTGGCAATGATCAATAGATTTGCTTATTGGGAGGTGGTGGGGAAGAGGAGGAAGGGCAGAGCTGTGAGTGCAGCATGGGAACACTTTGATGAGAGCTGCCAGGACACACCAAGAATGTCCAAGGAGGCAAGTCCAACCTTGTATGGCAGCCCTGCTCCCTTCCAGAGCCTCCCAAAAGGTCTCCTTGCTGCTCCCTGCTTGCTCTCCTTCCACTCCCTTCCTGCCTTCTCTCTCCCTTCCCCATCCCGGCTCTGCAGTGACTTCACCCTGGTTCTGCCCACTGCACCCTCAGGCTGCAGTTATCCCAGGGGCAGCAATCAGCCCTTGATAAACACTGGAGGAACAATCACCAAGGAGCTGTTTCACCTCGCTGACGTTAATATTAATCCACTTATCGGCCCCAGGGCTATAAAACATCCATCTCTAAAGGGTAAAAATCATCCCAGCGTTCTTCCTTTATATCAGCACCTGCTTATTGCGGGCCTTATCAGCAACCAGCACCAGGATTCAGGGGGACAAAGTCACGCAATGGCTCCAGCTGATGGGACTCTGGTCCTGCACCAGCACCAGAGTCACTGGCTGAGCCCATGAGAGCCTCCCACACCATGGGGTGGTGGTGACACCATGACGGGATGGTCCTGGAGGTCTTCCCCTAAGTTAAGTGCTGAGAAGCTCATCCCATGTCTGTGATGATTCCACCTTCCCTGGGCTGTCCTTGGGATGCCCTCCATGGACAGGTGGGTTGTGAACAGATTGCCTTTACCTATTTTATTTTGTTGTTTTGTTGAGATGCCATCTGCCTAATGGACCTCGTGCGTGGTCCTAAGCTGTCCGTCCACATTTCCTCCAAGGCTGGTGACCTCAGCTTGAAGGAACTTTTGACTCAGCAGCATGCTGGAAATAGCTGCATCAGCATCTTTATTGAAGCTAAGCAGAATTAGTTCTCCATTTGTCTCCATGCTGGGAGCAGAGATCAACCTGGGCTCCAAACTCCTTCTTCCCGCCTCATCATCCCCTACACCCATTGGCAGCATCTGGACAGATGAATGGAAGTTGTTCCTTCCATTCCTGCCTGTTTAACGGGTCTGAACACCTCCCAGTTCTTGCTGGAATCTCCGTGAGGTCTTGGGCAGTCGGCTTCCCCATTTCCTTCCCCACAAGGGCTCTTTTGTTTTTCTCTCTTCTTGGAAGTTTTTGCTCAAGGCGTGTTTCCATGTTACCAGCCACCCGTATTCGGACCCAAAGA